CCAGAGACAGCTATAGAAGGTCCTACCTTAATAGTCAGGTCTTTGACAGCCTTTCCCAGCAGCACCTGTAACCCTTCATCCATGAAAGTATCCAAACACTTTAAAAGTCCAACTAAATTTCTTATCAGTGGCTGCTCTTGAGTTATCATGCACCGTACATTTATCATCTGCTGGGTGAAATAGAGCTACTGAGAAACAAGCCTAGAATATAATCACAAAGAGAAATGATGGAGAGAATCCACCCTCAGGATAGTTCTTTTACATAAAGATCAGTTGACTATCTCCTGTGCCCTCCCTTTGCAAGTAGGATCTGCTTGTTTTAAGAGGGCAACAATTTTTATGGTTATATGTATGTAATTCGAACAGTGATTTCTTGTATTAGCTTAAATGTGCCTATTTCTCCTCTGTAACTAATTAAGCTGAATTCTGTGTATACAGGAAGCTGTTTGGCATTTGCCTTTATCTGTGCAGACCTGCTGTGTTTGATTACCCACCATTAGTTCATAGCGGTTGGACAGGCCAGCCAACTTCCAGGATTGTCTCAATTATCAAGATACCTTGTCACCTTTCTGGCCAAGTTTTAACATCTTCACATAATTCTTATAGAGAGTGTGTGTTTTAAACTTGGCCTCATCGAAGGATTAGTGAAAACATTGGGCACTTCCTCCTTAGGTGGCTAATGAAGGCCCCAGCAATGACAATAGGACAAATTACTTTAAAATAGTTCCTATTTTTGTCAGTGCTAAAAATATTCTTTCATTTGTATTTTCTTCCAGATTTGCTATGTCCCTTTCCAAAGTGAAAAATTGGAAAAAGAAGGTTCTGAACACCAACCTTATTAGACTAAGAAACAATATTTTAAAAGATGGGTTAAAAATGCATCTATGAATTATAAATAATGTATAATATAGCTGTATAATATAATACATCCTACAAAACTGCTGCTTTTTTCTCAGGGGGTAATTTTTTTTCACTTGTGGATTTATATTAATAAGTCCCAGCCCTGGTGGTGAGATCGATGGTCAGAGCCTTAATTGGGGCTCTCTGGTGATTATCTAGATTGGCAGCTGCTGTCAATCAGCTTCTAAAGAAATTTCTGAACCAGTGATTAGGCTGCTCCTGGAGATGCTAGTCCCCAGAGGCAGTATTAAGGCTCCCAATCACAGGGGAACCATTAAGATGAGTGGAGCTATAATTTTCCAAGTTGCTGGCTTACTTGGTGACATACATGCCCCAACTTTCTGGCTAGTCAACTCTGGACGATGATATCCTAGCATATACTGGATCCATATGATTTTATAAGTAACAATGCTACAAATCCCATAACAGCTCCCATTAAGCTAAAACAATAATACCGTATGTATGTTTACAGAGCACGTCAGTTTTATAGTATATAATTAAATCCCATTGATAAAATAACAATGTATTGCTGTTCTTTTCTGGGAGAATATACAAAGTTCACAAAATTTCTCCCCCCATGGTGCATATTCATATTCTTTTAGAACCACTCTTTTCATATGAATTAAAAATCCAAACCATTTTTAGATTAATTTAACATTTTATAATGGCTTAATCTCATTAATTCAGATCCCAATACATTTTTTTTTGATAATTCAAATAGGATTGGGCTACATTTGGTTCTTCCTCGTCCTTAAATTATGGTGAATAATGTTAAGTGTTCTGTTGGTTAATAGATGAGCTGCCAGCTTCTTCTAACGTTAAATGCCCATGGACTTTCCATGTGACCTAGCAATTCCATTTGTAGGTATTTCCCCAAGAAAATGGAAGTATATATCCACTCAAAAACTTGCACATGAATGTTCAGAGCAGCTTTATTTGTAATAGCTAAAAAACAGAAAAAGCCCAAACATTTATCAGGTCAATGGATAAACAAATTTTAATATCTCCAAATGGTGGACTATTACTCAGGAATAAATTAAAATAGTACATGGGGATGAAAGAAGGCCAAACACAGAAGACTATATGCTGTATGGTTTCATTTGTAGGAAATTCTAGAACATGCACAATTAATTTCTATTTGTAGAAAGCTGATCAGTGGTTGCCCAGGGATGGGGGTGGAGCTATTGACTGGACAAGAGCACAAGGGAATTTTTTGATGTGATGGAAATGTTCTATTTATTGACTGAAGTGGTCATTATATGGGGTGTGTGCATTTGTCAGAACTCAACGAACTGTACACTTTAATATGGGCACTTTATTGCATATAAACTATACCTTAAAAACTTACGCTTTTAAAAGTGACATGCTATTACATATATCTTCCTTAATAACAAAAGTCTGTTCTACTTCTTGTGTTCTCTGTGCTTCCCCCCTTTCCAATTTTTTTTTTTAGCAGTATCATTTCCAACGTGCAAATGATATAGGGGATCCCAGCTTAAGTTCAATAGATATCTTATAAGCCAATAAAAAGAAGATTCAAATTTTCCACCTTGTATCTAACAAGTCCTCAAATTCTACTTATTCTGACTCCTAAATACTTGTTGCATCTTTACACTGCTGCCTAGCTTCACCTCCCCTGCGTTAATTTAGCTTTCAGTTATCTCCTGACTGGTCTCTTTCCTGCTATGATTTGATTTGAACAAAAGTGTCCTCCTCACCATCTTCCAGATTTCAGAAATCAAAATGGTACCCAGAGGCCTTATGGTTGAGAGAAGGGCAGGGAGCTTGTAAAGACGAAGCAAGACAAAGGATGGAACTGGACAGGGCATTGGGGGAAGCTTGATGAAGGTCTTATGCTTACTTATGGGATTCTTAGGATCAAGATGTGATCCTGAGTAAACTGGATGGTTTTCAATGCTGTTGATGTTTTCCATGTTTGTTTTCTTTAGTGTGTCAGTGAAGTTCCTTTGGAGAATATTAGCCCATTTCAGTTATGTTCAAGAGAAACAGGGAAAGGGCTTTTGTTCCCTAGGGGCTGGTAGGGAAGGGCCAGGTATGGTGGTAGACAGAGGAATCAAAAGCAGAGAACCCCAAGAGAGACAGGATACTTGGAGGGGCAGAACCAAAGCCTAAAGGTACAGCCTGTGCCAGCCCCTAACATCCACCCACCCTTCATAATTTCCTTACAAGTCATTTCTTTCCTGCCTGTCCTTAAGAGCATTCTGTCCTTGTATGTATTAAGGGAGTGATTTCCTTTCTGTCTGTATCCTCACTTTCTTCTCTGATTACCAGAAAGTTTGGTGATAGTGAATGGTCACCCAGGAGAAAAAGGTGACAACTTTAGCCCAGCTTAGTCCATTGTAAAAGGTCTTTTCCATATTTGAAAGTGCCTTTTAGCAAGACTCAGGAAAGGATAGCCTCCAGTGAGAGATTTCCCATCGATTATACGCTTGTCAGGAGCTGCACAAGCCCAGCTCAGAGATTTCCACCTTAAACTTTCAAAAGAAGCCACTTGCTAAATGTTCTGGAGCTGGGGATGCCAGAGGAGCCACTAAAAATCAAACAGTGAGCAGAAACTGAATTTGACTTTTGGCCCCAGGGGTAAGAGAGATGGAGATGAAAGCTGACAGGCTCCTACATGACAAGGCCTCTGTGGAGTGGAAATGGGTGACTCACAAATCGGAGTGGCACTTCCTCTCCACGGGCCGCCCTGGGAGCAAAGCTGAAACATCCCCACCCAGCCCTGTCCATGCAGACTCTTGGCCCACTGACCAGAGTATTAGCAGGCAGCCCCTCCAGTGCAGGACAGGTCTTTGGGAGTGCAGCTTTAACCTCAAAGACAACTGTGGATTCAGCTCAGCAGTTACTTCTCCATGGCCAAGGAAGCAGTGTACATTTTATCATAGGGAGTCCTTGGGTCTGAGCCCTGTTTTTAGAATATCGTCTAGCCCTGGCTCTGCCATTGAAAAACTGAGTAAACTTAAACTTGAGTAAGTCACTTAGTCTTTGGAGGCCAGAGTGTCCCTAACTATAAAATAAAAAGAGCTCAATATTTTGTGGAAGAGGTGGACATGTAAACAGCAATGATGTTCGAAGTTGGTGATAATGTGCAGGGAGTCCAGATGAAGGGTAGATAATTCCATAGAGAAGAGGTGACATTTGAACTGGTTGAATCGAGTCCTGAGAAAGTTGTAAGAGTTTCCAGGCAAGCAGAGAGACTATTCTGGGCAATGTAACACATTCCTAAAGAACTGAAGGCAGGGGAGAGAGAAGAGATTTGATGAGGCCTGTGTGAGAGAGAAGCAGTCAATCTGAGAGCACTGAGAGCTGAGAGGATGTGAGATGTGTCTTAGATGTAGAGTCAAGAGGTGGTACCCAGTTGAATGTGGCTTCCCACATTCAACAGAGGGTGGCCGACTGGCTCCTGCCTTGAGTGACTGAGCAAATGATGATTTAGTTAAATAAAACATCCAAAGCAGGAAAGGGTGGAAAAATGATGAATCCAGTTTCCGACAGGTTGAAATGAGAGTATCCAGAGTTCAACCAACTGCCATGTCCAGCAGGCAGCTTGATAAACAGGTGTAAAGCACAGAGTGGTTGAAACTAGAGATGTAGGTCTGGGTGTCATCAGCTTACTCTGATCTAGATCATTTCAAAGTTCCTTTCTAAATCTCAAGCCATAAGATCTGTGATTCTAAACCTTGTAAAAGGAAAAGTCCAAAAGTAAACCTTTCTCCTCTCCCTGGAGTAGTATTCTAATGAGACACTTGGTGTGGGTTTTCTCTGCCTCCCTCTTTGTGGTGTTTATGTGCACGATAGGCTGGTCATAGGATCCTTGCCACTGAATTTTATTTTCTTGAGTTTCTTTCAGATATTAGTTACAGGATTTTAGACAACATAGAATGGTTTCAGCCCAGATAAAATTAAACAGTAATTGGACATCAGTGATGAATCCCAAAAAGGCTTTGGAAAAGCCTCAGCAATTCTCATCAATTATCAGTGGCTCCTCATTTTATGTGAAATAAAGTTCAGGCTCTTCAGTTTGACATTCAAGTCTCTCCCTTCCCTCTCTCCCTCCCTCCCTCTCTCTCTGATCATAGCCATGTCATGAGCTACGGAGAGGCCCAGGTGGTGAGAAACTGAGGCTTCCAGCCACCAGCCACATGAGTGAGCGTGGATGCAGATTCTCCAACCCCATCAGCCTTTAGGTGACTGAAGCCCTGACCAACATTTGCCTGCAGTCTCTTGAGATACCCAGAGCTAGAAGCTGCCAGCCAAGCAACTCCTGGATTCCTGACCCACAGAAACGTGAGTTCAGTGTTTGTTGCTTTAAACTTCTGTGTTTTGGAGTAATTTGTTAAGGTATGATCAGGAAAAGGAGAAATGTGCTCTTCTGATAATATGTGGGAAATGGGCCAGGAAAGGTCTGGAACAATTTCAGCAGTTTGGCGAGAGCCCTGCAGAGTGCTGGGAGCCTGGGTCTTGTCCTGATTCTCCTGCCTAGTCACTGGGTGGCCTCGAAGACAACTCATCTCCTGTTTGGGCCTTGGTTTCCGTACTTGTAAATGAAGATGGAGGTTTATTTCCAGGATTCATTCTAAAACCATGACATATATGCAGTTTTTATATGTTGTAGTCAAGACCTGGAAATGACGAAGAGTAGTTTTCAAAACTTGAAAGAAAAAGATGGAAGACTGGCTTTACGAGTTAAACTTTAAAATCAGCACTTATGGATTAGAAAAGAGATATTACAAAATTATCTTAAAGCAATGTTTAATGTCCTCTGACTTGCTATAAACTGAACCCCAAAATACAGTTACTTTCTTCTTATCAATCAATGATGGGAAATACCATGAAGGCTCATTTTTTAATGCGTGAAAATCTCCTAGAAGAGTTCCTAGAACAATGGTTAAGTGTTATATTTATAACCAAGGGAAACTTAGTGAATGAAGTGGGTTATTAAAAGATATCAAGATTGGATATTCATAAATAAAGGAGCATATTACCAAGGTTTATTAAGAACTCCATATTGATGTGCACTTAGGATGCTTCCATGTCTTGGCAATTGTAAATAGTGCTGCTGTTATTAGAGGTGTGTATATATCCTTTTGAATTAATGTTTTTGCTTTTCTCAGGTATATGCCCAGGAGTGAAATTACTGGGCCATATGGTGGTTCTGTTTTGGGGTTTTTGAGAAACCTCCATATTGTTTTGCATGGTGACTGCACCAATTTACGTTCCCACCAACAGTGTATAGGGGTTCCCTTTTCTCCACATCTTTGCCAGCATTTGTTATTTGTGTTGTTTTTGATGCTGGCCATTCTGACAGGTGTGGGATGGTGTCTCATGGTTTTGATTTGTGTTTCCCTGATATTGGTGTTGTCGAGCAGCTTTGCATGTTCCTGTTAGCCATCTACATTTCTGCTTTTGGAAAAATGTAGTTCAATTCTTCTGCCTATATTTTAAATCAGTTGTTTGTTCGTTTACTTGCTTTTTAATTGAAGTACAGTTGATCTTAAATGTTTTATTAGTTTCTGGTGTACAGCATGGATGGACTTGGAGGGCATTATGCTAAGTGAAATGAGTCAGACAGAGAAAGACAAATACTATAAGATATCACTTACATGTGGAATCTAAAAAAACACAGCAAACTAGTGAATATAACAGAAAAACAGACTCACAGATGTAGAGAAAGAACTAGTGGTTACCAGTGGAGAGAAGGCAAGGGG